AGTAGCACTTTTAGCTGTAGCTTAGCATAGATAATTGAATCTGATTAGACCGTTAGCATCTTGCCTGAAAATAGGCTAACTTCCGTCAACATAACCAACTACACAAACTTAGTGCTGTTGGAAGTTACCTAGCTGGGGACTGTTTCCAAGCGCTGCATAATATCACTGCACCTGCTGCACTCATGGTACGGCAGCAAAGTTGCTTGATTATTACGCCGGAGTGAGAGTATAGTTCCTAGCCATATCGGCCTAGAAAATCGCAACTTTTCATTTTCCGTCGGTCTTAGTACACGATGTAACTACAGAAGAGTCAAGTTTTAAATAGGAAAAATATAGAAACTTACGGTAGGAGATTTACAAAATATCTTCATGGAACATGACCTTTACTTAATATCCTAATGATTTTTGGCATAAAAGAAAAATAATAATCATTTTGACCCATACAATGTATTGTTGGCTATTGCTACAAATATACCCCAGCGACTTAAGACTGCTTTTGTGCTGCAGGGTCACATACATCGCAATAAGCATTGTGCTTTGGTAGATTTCAAATTATGTCCATTGTATTGCAGTATTCAAACAATAAATGCTGTTTTGGCGCTGTTTAATGTGGAGTGATCGCTGTAGCGCCTCAGTGAACTGATCATCTCCTCCGCTTTATTACTAGTTATAGCACAAAATAAACATGACTAAACATCCGAAGGCAAGTTAAAAGAAAGAGTACAACGTTACAATCCGTATCCTGTCTCATGCAATCGCTCAATCAGTGTTTCAGCAGCGCAAAGACCTCAATATAACAGCTTGTAAACAATGCCACGTCACATTTACCTCAGAAATACATATTCGGTTACTATAAACTCATTAGTCAGATAGAAAAATAAACTGAAATAAAATATAGGAGAGGAGCATTTTGCTAAATATATGCACCATATAACATATTCATTATAATTTTTACTGTTCTTTAATGTTTTATTTACGTGACAGCCACCATTTAAATGTTTACATTAAAAAAAAAAACTAACTGAAGTAATTGCAACTTAATTATTAAAAAAACTTCATTAAGTGTAATTTTAACAAATTAGTCAATTTTAACCTTCAGTATTATAGTACCCACTGACTCTCATGTATATTTTACAGCATTACTTGAGAGATTTTTACATTAATGTAAATGTAAAAATTATTTAATTATAGCGACAGGCCTACTGTTGCATGTTTCAAACTATTGTGATCTACTTAGTGTTGATAAATTACGACAATGCTTACTTTATGTCGTTTATATTGTAGTATATTTGTTAGATGAATATTTTATCGCCCTCGGCCAGTGAGTGTGACGTCTGAGGAAGTACTAAAGACCTTTTCAAAATAAGAGTCCCAGTCTATTTCAGGCTTGTTTATAATTAAAAGTCCCAAATTATGTACAACAAATTTTTGTGGCTATTATTGGTATTTTGTTAACACAATAAACAGTATCTGGCATTTAATTAAATGTTTAAAACATAAACAATCCAATAATTATGAAATTAATAGTTTAAAGCAAACATATTTAAAAACCTAGTGCACTTTGTGAATTCAAATCTATCCATCTTTATTAAGGAAAAACTAATTATTTGATTCACTTTCACTGCATCCCTAAAGTTTTACCTTGGATTTTTTAGTATATCAGTACATGATAATCTGCTCCTTGGGAAAAACATAAGCGCCAGAGCGACTCTGTGAACGAATGTGAAGCGTCTCAATCTCAGACCAGGAGTCACTCACTTGGCATCGAGGCCCCTGACGGCGTCCTCAGCGTCTCTGGGATCTTCAAACTCCACGAAGGCGAATCCCGGCGGGTTGCGAGCGATCCACACCGTCCTCAGCGGCCCGTAATAACCGAACGCCCGCTCCAGCTCACCCTTCCCTGCCCCGGTGCCCAGGTTACCCACGTACACCTTCGTTTCTGAGAGAGGAGAGAGGGTTAACAGCTGTCACCCGCCACTCAAGACTACAGTTTAACACCTGATAGAAAAGATCACTCTGCTGCTTAAACTCACATCACATCATTCACAACAAATCTGGATTTCAATTAGATATTACTCATGTTTTTATAATGTATATTTTCAATTTATATGTTTTATATTATATACGGTTTCTGGAAGCATCAGTTCTTCTGGATTGAGTCATTACATTACAACATATTGTTTTTTATTATATATTTTTTCAGTTTTTTATTTACATTTTAGTTAACGTTTACATTTTATGTGCTTTTATCATTCTGTAAGTTAAAAAAAATATATATTTTAAAATATTTCTACCCAGCTTACACTTATTTTATTTACTTTCAGGCAACATTTTCCATGTTTTAAATCAAATCTAAGATTAATATTTTATTTTAGCATTATTTCAATTAATAATGGATTTTTAAAAGTCTTCGTTCACAAAAACAACAGTCTGTCTACAACCGGCCACATTTGACACATGAAAATACACACTTCACACACTGTTTTAAATAAACTCTTCAAGCACCTGCATGTTTAGCTGCTTAAATCATCAAAAGATCATTTCAAACATGAAATACAGAGCAAACTGTAATAAAAACAGAAACAGAAACATCCTAATACTGACCTACAACCCAACAAAATAATAATTCATCAAAGCACAAATACAAATAATGTGCATCTAAACTATACACGTTATGATTATCACAACTTTTAGTAGTAGAATTAATATTACGATAATTATTAGCCAGTGTTTACAGCGCGTGAGGGCGCCATTACAGTTAGCAGCTCGTACTAAAACGCATTAAACCTCCTCAACAACCAGCCAGCCACATTTAACACTCGAGATGAAGCATTCTGCGTCAGGATGTGTTTAATGTTCATGATTTCTTCCACTCACCGCCTCCGTGTCGCCCGAATCGCGACATAATGAACGAAATGAAGACGAAATCCTGACAGAAACAAACAAACGATCACGCGACAGCGCATGCGCACACTCAAAACTACATCATGCTAGTGTTGCGATATCTGACTGCGCGCTTTCTAAATCATTTTATTTGCGTTATTAGGATTATTCTGTGTTGTATATATCCCGTATACTCTCTATATGTTCACTAAAAATATGTATATATAAAAAAAAGAGAATCTCCGTGACCCACGTCTGCGGCAGTGACGTCACGCGTGTCCAGCGCTCGCTGCGTCGGCGGTTTCCTGAGGACTCGGAGAAGTTGACGGTGAAGGTGAAGTCGCTGATCGATTGATTGATTGATTCGCGGTGATCAAGTGACCGGGTTCTCGCCGCGATGCTGCAGTGGAGCGCCAGGAGTCCTCAGCTCTGGCACGAGTTCGTCAATCACGAGGTTTGTGTGACGAACCGAGATCAGCAGCGCTTCGAGGGACGCATGTTCACGGTGGACCCCGTTTCTGCCAGGTAAACCTCGTATTAAACATCATAAACTCATATTATCAGTTACACACAACAACTGAAGGATCTGAACACGATCTGCTGTTGAGTTTGGATCATGATCATGAAGTTAATGGCTTATCAATTCTAATATATCATCTATATTTGCAACTTAATTTAAAACATAGTCATTAATAGAAGTATTTAAGTATTTTTTATTTGTTTTTTATATGTTAATGCGTTTTAAGGTAAGGGGCTTCTGGAACACTTTGACTCAAATGAATCGGTGAATCATTTGGGTTTTGAATCATGAGGTGAACCGTTTGGATATGTGACCATTATTAATCACGAGGTGAATCATTTGCATTTTGAATCATTATGAAGTATAAGGTGGATCGTGATGCAATTGGCTTAACTGCTTAACTTTTATGGTTTATAAATGATAATATATTATCTATATTTGCAACTTAATTTAAAACAGTCATTAATATAAATATTAAAATATTATTCATATTTGATTTTTTTGAATATGTAAATGCATTCTTGACTAATTTGAATCATTAAGTGAATCATTTGTGTTTGGAACAATTATGAATCATGAGGTGAATCATTTGAGTTTAAAATCGTTAGGATTTTTAATTATTATCAATCCTCAGGTGAATAATTTGTCATTTGAATCATAAGATGCATTTTGAATCGTTATGAATCATGAGGTGAATCATTTGGGTTCTGAATCATTATGAATTATAAGGTGAGTCATTTGTGTTTTAAATCATGAGGTGATTTATTTGCATTTTGAATCATTATCAATTGTTGAGTGAATCATCTCTGGTTCTGTTCTTGTGTCGGCTGCAGTGTGGTGCTGCTGAGCGTCCAGGAGAACGAGCGTCCGTCGGTGAGGGTGATTCTGGGTCACGCGGTGACCGATGTCCAGATCCTCAGGAGAGGAACGGAGGAAACGGAGCGTCAGATGAAAGTTTGAGCTGCAGCTCAATAGAAATCATCTGAAAGCATCCAGTCTCTCAGTCAATGTTCAGTTTATCAGTGTATATTGTAATAAATATTAGAGAAATGATTGTTGTGTGTGATTGTATGAGTCTATATAGAGTGATAGTCAAAGTAAAAAGAGCAGATAAAGAACACAAAACAGCAGAACTACATAAAGTTAAAGAGACTAAACTTCAGCATTCAGCTGAACTCTGCTCGTGTGTTTCTAACACTTCGGCTCTTATATCTTCTTGTCCGGTGTTGAGAGAAATCAGGAGTAAGGCTATATTTGTTTTGCATCGAGTCCTGCAGGATCCCAGTCCCAAGAGAGCATAAAACCATCACAATTCAACAGACAATCATATCCAGCCTGTGTCACGTTCATGATATTCATGCCAGCGTTTGATTTTAAGGGTGTTTTTGCTTCTCCTGTATAGCCAACAGTGTTGGGTCACATGATCTGAATCCACACTGAGCTGAATTCAGCAGAGTTTGGAGTTTGCATCATTGCTGTGAAATCATCTGTGCTGTATAAAGCGCTACGGAAAGTGAAGAGAGACGTGGCACGGCTAGTGTTTGGCATACAGTGGTAGAAACACTTTTATTCCCTTGTTTTAAGAAGGCGATCGTTTCATCTTTACATACTTATTGGCAAAACAAGAAATGATTGAGAAAATAAAAGTTCTAACACGTACAGGACAATCACGCGTGTTTCTTGAAGCTTTCTCCAGTACCTCTTTGGTGTGAGGGTACCTTAAACTCCCGGTGCTCTTCAGTCTACTGGCTCTCGAGTGAGTCTAGAACACCGGCGGCGTCCGGAAATAATCCAGAGAACGCTCTCCGTCTCCAGAAGAGCTGCTCCGTTTAGTCTGTCATCCAGCAGGTTTGTTTGTTTCTCAGTCTGTGTTCAGGAGGAAAACCAGCCAAGCCGTGAAATGAAACGAACATGAGACAAAACAGCTACACGAAAGACAAAAAAACAATACAGAGTTCCCCAATGGGCGTGATTTGCACTTTATGGAAACAATTGTCGTCTCGGAAGGACAATTTTAAAGGGACAGTTCACCCAAAATTACAATTCTGTCATCATTTACTCATCCTCAAGATGTTACAAACCTGTACGAGTTTCTTTCTTCTGTTGAACACAAAAACAGATGTTTTAAGAATGTTGGCAAACAAACAGTTGACGGTAGCCATTGACTTCAATAGTATGGAAAAAAATACAATGGAAGTCAATGGGTACCAACTGTTTGTTTACCCAGATTCTTCAAAATATTTAGAAGACACCTTGAAGAACACACACACACACACACAAAAGAGATGTTTTGTTAGATGTCAACCAAACGGTTGATGGTAGCCATTGAGTTGCATTATATGGAAAAAATTATAATGGAGGTGAATGGGAACTGAAACGGTTTGGTTACCAGCATTCTGAAAAATATATTTTTTGGGGTTCTTCTAATTATTTTGAAGAATGTTGGTAACAAAACAATTGTGGTTCCCATCGACTTCCATTATATGGACCAAAAATACTATGGAAGTCAATGGGTACCATCAATTGTCCGGTTACTCGCACTTCTCAAAATATCTTCTAATGCTGGGCAACGATTAATCGCATCCAAAATAAAAGTGTTTTTTTATATATAATGTATGTGTGTGTACTGTGTATATTTATTATGTATATATAAAGAAACACACATACAGTATATATATTTAAAATATTTACATGTATATATTTATATTCATATAATTTATATTATATATAAATATATTTAATATATAAACATAACATTTTTCTTAAATATATACATGCATGTGTGTGCATTTATATATACACATAATAAATATACACAGTACACACACACACACATATATTTTGTACACAAACACTTTTATTTAGGATGAGATTAATCGTGATTAATCATTGCCCAGCACTAATCATTGCCCTGTCCTTCTAAATGTTTTCTAAATATAAAAAAAAAATGTTGGTAATCAGCCAGTTTTGGTTCCTATTGATTTCCATTACATGGGCTTAAAATACTATGGAAGTCTATGGGTGCCGTCAGCTGTTTGGTTACCAACATTCTAAAAAAATCTTTTTTTGGGGTTCTTCTAATTATTTTTAAGAATGTTGGTAACAAAATGTCAGTTTCCATTGATTTCCTTTAAATAGGCTTAAAATACTATGGAAGTCTATGGGTGCCGTCAGCTGTTTGGTTACCAACTTTATAAAAAATATATTTTTTTGGGTTCTTCTAAGTGTCTTCTAATTATTTTGAAGAATGTTTGTAACAAAATTTCAATTCCCCTTGATTTCCATTATATGGGCAAAAAATACTATGGAAGTCTATGGGTGCTGTCAGCTGTTTGGTTGCCAACATTCTTCAAAATAAAATTTGTTGTGTTCAGCAGCAGAAAGAAACTCATACAGGTTTGGAACAGCTTGAGGGTGACTAAACACTGGCAGAATTCCCATTCTCGGCTGAACAGTCCCTTTAAGGGCACATGTTGCTTTCGTCTGTTTTCGTTCCGTCTCCAGCACTGTCTGTAGGCGCGTCGCTCTACAAGGGGTTTGCGTTCTCCAGGAGCGGCGGCCCGTCGCGGTGGACCGACTCTCTCTTGTAGGTCTTGGGCGGGAGTTTGGGGATGGGCGACTGCGAGGTGCTGTGGCGCGGCGGGACGGGCGGCCCAGGTGTCTGCGGCGGGAAGAAGGCCTGGCTGGGCTCGGAGCGGCGGCCCTGCGGAGGCGGCTGCAGGTGCAGCGGGGAGCTGGAGAAGACGTCTGGCGTTCGCACCGGCTCCCGCGGCGGCAGGGTGGGCGGGCTGTCGGGCGGCTCTGTCAGCGAGTAACGAGGCGAGTACACCTTGGAGGTGGGCTGACGCGGCGGGATCGCCGGAGGACTGTCCAGGTGCTTCGACATCATCTGAAACACACCAACAAACCACTCGTCACACGCTGTGCTCGGAAAGATCACATGTGCATGCAGAGGATATAGGATTCTATTCTATCTATAGCACAACTGTACATACAATTAATTTTATTTTTCAACTTATTTTTCTATTTTTTGTTTATTTATATTTACATATGTGGAGCACAGAAGCAGTCATAAGTAGCACAGGTATATTTGTAGCAATAGCCAAGAATACATTGAATGGGTTTTTCTTTTATGCCAAAAATCATTAGGATATTAAGTAAAGATCATGTTCCATGAAGATATTTTGTACATTTCCTACCGTAAATATATCAACACTTAATTTTTGATTAGTAATATGCATTGTTAAGAACTTAATTTGGACAACTTTAAAGATGATTTTCTCAATATTTAGATTTTTTTGCACCCTCAGATTCCAGATTTTCAAATAGTTGTATCTCAGCCAAATATTGTCCTATCCTAACAAACCATACATCAATGGAAAGCTTATTTATTCAGATTTCAGATGATGCATAAATCTCAATTTCAAAAAATTGACCCTTATGACTGCTTTTGTGGTCACATATGTGTATCTTATAACAATAACATATCTTATTTTTTATTGTCTGTGTGTTGTTGTTGTCTCTGTGTACTGGGAGCTTGTGACACTAAAAAAAAATTCTTTGTATGCGCAAACATACTTGGCAATAAAGCTCTTTCTGACTTCTTTACTTAATATCCTAATGATTTTTGGCATAAAAGAGAAATGGATAATTTTGACGGCACTGATGAACCTGTGGTGGGGAAGAAACGTAAGCTATTAATAAGATTAGTATTGACCAAGTTCAGAGGCTGTTATGTGGATCAACTTACTATGTTGTGTATTTTCAACAGTTTCAATATGAAAAATAACTTTATAGCCTTTTGGAACCAAACTCTTCAGATGCTTTCCATAGATGCTAAAGTGTTTCTATTTTTCTCTCCTGTTTTCATACAGTATTATATGGAAGCTTGTTTCCACCACAGAATAAAACATTAAAAAGATAATTGTGACTTTTTCATCTCACAAATCAGACTTTGTTTCTTGCATTTCATATATAAACTCAGAAATCTGACTTTTATACCTCAAAATTCAGAGATTTTTTTTTTTTAGATGAAAAAAAAACCATGAGAAAAAAAAAAACACAAAGATAATTGCGACTTTTTCCTCATAATTCTTCTCAGAGTTTATATCTCACAATTCTGACTCCTGCAAATTACTTATAGTGCAACTGACTTGTAATTAGGGTTGCAAAAGGGTGGAAAATTTCTGAAATTTCTGGAAAAATCCCTGGAATATTCCAAAAAATCCTGGAACGTTTCAGAAATTTACTGGAAATTTTGGAAATTTTCCAAACCCTACTTGTAATTGTTTTATTATTATTTATATTTTTAAACATTAGGAGTGATGTTTTATTATTTTAGCTATGCCATATGTTCCTTTTTTCCTGTCCAGAGACGGGAGATGAATGCTGCTCAGTAGCTGTGGCCTGTTACATCAACCATTAAATACAGAGCAGAATATGAAAGAAACACTGGGCACCTTGGAGGGCGAGGACTCGGCGGGCGCAGATTCAGGCCGGCGGCGCGGAGGGATGGGCGGAGGAACGGGAAGCTCGTCGTTCCGGAGGAAACTCATCATCGACGACACGGAAGAAGACCCTGAGAGACACAAACACACTCTGATGACATCACTGCAGAGGACCACACATGCACACAGGTCACGGGGAGCAGCTGAGAGCACACGGATATTTGCTTTACATGCTCATTTGTAGTTACTTTAAGGTATTTCATTACCTTGTATGGCCAAAACTGTCATTTTTCTTGTTGCAACATTTGACAAAAATCAAGATATTTGAATATATTTGGTGGAAATCCCATGTTATAAAAGATGAAGTGTTATGAAGGCTATTTAAGACAATATTAGCTGATTAGACGGCAATGCTGAGCTGGAATGCTAAATGTTTGTCCTTCAGCGTTACACATCTCTGACCTCAAACACATCAAATATTACCCTTTAGACACAGTTTTTGAAGTAAAGAGTAAAGAAAATACTATGCAATACTTATTGAATCAACCAGGGGCCAGTTCCACAGCCAGCATGTTAAGACTGTGTCTAAAGAACTAGTTTGATCAGCTAGTCTTACTCTTCCAATACAAACAAGATCAATCTACCATTTCATAACTGGATTAAAAAAAAAAAAAAAAAAATTAGATGACTAACTTTTTAAGACTCATCTAAACAGTTTATGCAACCGGCCCCAGTTCTTTATTTACTTTTGTAAGACCAATAAAAAAAAAAACAATATTTGGCTGAGATACAACTATTTGAAAATCTGGAATCTGAGGGTGCAAAAAAATCTAAATATAGAGAAAATCATCTTTAAAGTTGTTCAAATTAAGTTCTTAGCAATGCATATTACTAATCAAAAATTAAGTTTTGATATATTTACGGTAGGAGATTTACAAAATATCTTCATGGAACATGATCTTTACTTAATATCCTAATGATTTTTGGCATAAAAGAGAAATGGATAATTTTGACCCAACTGATGAACCTGTGGTGGGGAAGAAACGTAAGCTATTAATAAGATTAGTATTGACCAAGTTCAGAGGCTGTTATGTGGATCAACTTACTATGTTGTGTATTTTCAACAGTTTCAATATGAAAAATAACTTTATAGCCTTTTGGAACCAAACTCTTCAGATGCTTTCCATAGATGCTAAAGTGTTTCTATTTTTCTCTCCTGTTTTCATACAGTATTATATGGAAGCTTGTTTCCACCACAGAATAAAACATTAAAAAGATAATTGTGACTTTTTCATCTCACAAATCAGACTTTGTTTCTTGCATTTCATATATAAACTCAGAAATCTGACTTTTATACCTCAAAATTCAGAGATTTTTTTTTTTTAGATGAAAAAAAAACCATGAGAAAAAAAAAAACACAAAGATAATTGCGACTTTTTCCTCATAATTCTTCTCAGAGTTTATATCTCACAATTCTGACTCCTGCAAATTACTTATAGTGCAACTGACTTGTAATTAGGGTTGCAAAAGGGTGGAAAATTTCTGGAAACTTTCCAAAAATCCCTGGAATATTCCAAAAAATCCTGGAACGTTTCAGAAATTTACTGGAAATTTTCCACCCTTTTGCAACCCTACTTGTAATTGTTTTATTATTATTTATATTTTTAAACATTAGGAGTGATGTTTTATTATTTTAGCTATGCCATATGTTCCTTTTTTCCTGTCCAGAGACGGGAGATGAATGCTGCTCAGTAGCTGTGGCCTGTTACATCAACCATTAAATACAGAGCAGAATATGAAAGAAACACTGGGCACCTTGGAGGGCGAGGACTCGGCGGGCGCAGATTCAGGCCGGCGGCGCGGAGGGATGGGCGGAGGAACGGGAAGCTCGTCGTTCCGGAGGAAACTCATCATCGACGACACGGAAGAAGACCCTGAGAGACACAAACACACTCTGATGACATCACTGCAGAGGACCACACATGCACACAGGTCACGGGGAGCAGCTGAGAGCACACGGATATTTGCTTTACATGCTCATTTGTAGTTACTTTAAGGTATTTCATTACCTTGTATGGCCAAAACTGTCATTTTTCTTGTTGCAACATTTGACAAAAATCAAGATATTTGAATATATTTGGTGGAAATCCCATGTTATAAAAGATGAAGTGTTATGAAGGCTATTTAAGACAATATTAGCTGATTAGACGGCAATGCTGAGCTGGAATGCTAAATGTTTGTCCTTCAGCGTTACACATCTCTGACCTCAAACACATCAAATATTACCCTTTAGACACAGTTTTTGAAGTAAAGAGTAAAGAAAATACTATGCAATACTTATTGAATCAACCAGGGGCCAGTTCCACAGCCAGCATGTTAAGACTGTGTCTAAAGAACTAGTTTGATCAGCTAGTCTTACTCTTCCAATACAAACAAGATCAATCTACCATTTCATAACTGGATTAAAAAAAAAAAAAAAAAAATTAGATGACTAACTTTTTAAGACTCATCTAAACAGTTTATGCAACCGGCCCCAGTTCTTTATTTACTTTTGTAAGACCAATAAAAAAAAAAACAATATTTGGCTGAGATACAACTATTTGAAAATCTGGAATCTGAGGGTGCAAAAAAATCTAAATATAGAGAAAATCATCTTTAAAGTTGTTCAAATTAAGTTCTTAGCAATGCATATTACTAATCAAAAATTAAGTTTTGATATATTTACGGTAGGAGATTTACAAAATATCTTCATGGAACATGATCTTTACTTAATATCCTAATGATTTTTGGCATAAAAGAGAAATGGATAATTTTGACCCATACAATGTATTGTTGGCTATTGCTACAAATATACCCCAGTGACTTAACACTGCTTTTGTGTTGCAGGGACACATTGGTGACCTATTTTGATCTCTAAAAAGTGAGTTGTCACTGAAAGGTGAGGAGTCTGCATCTCTGGAGGATGCTGGGAAACACGTCACATGATCAACAGCGCCCTGAACATGCAAGAGCGGCCCGTGGAGGACTGACACACGACACAGACGCATGGGTGAAGAACATGAGACGCTGAGATACTAACGTGGACCGTGAGGCAGAGCGACCGGAGCGAATATAGAGTCGCTGTCTGTCAGGAAGCAGAGAGAAACACAAGAGAAGGTGACAGACTGATCCACTGATCCAGGATCTCGACCAATGGAGAGAGTTTAGGGCGGGGCTATCTGTGTGACTGACCAATGGCAGATGGGGGAGGATTTCGTCATTTTCACAATTATAATTAATTCAGAAATTATATACAACTGACTACTCTCCAAACTAACTGGGGTAACTCACATCTGGTGATGACGGTTTAATAATAATAATAATAATAATACACTACTAGACAAAAGTTTAAAGTTTAAATTATTTCATGTTTTTGAAAGAAGTCTCTTCTGCTCACCAAGCCTGCATTTATTTGATGATAAATACATTGTGAAAAAATTGTGAAATATTATTGTAATTTAAAACAGCTGTTTTCTATGTGAATATCTGTTAAACTGTAATGTATTTCTGTGATGCGCAGCTGTATTTTCAGCATCATTACTCCAGTCTTCAGTGTCACATGATCTTCAGAAATCATTCTAATATGCTGATTTGCTGCTCAAGAAACATTTCTGATTATTATCAATTAGGGCTGCACGATTATGACAAAAATCATAATTGTCAGTTATTCCCTTGAAATTGTAATTGTGATTATTAATTACGATTATCACAATTTACATTGAGTGATGTTTGTACCGTTGTTCGCAGCAACTGCATGCCATATTTTTAAGCTGAAAACGCTCTTATTGTTTTTATATAGTATTAAGCCTCATGTCAACTATACAATGGACTGGTTTCTTCTTTAAATAATAAAAAAAGTAAAAATATGAATGGTATTATAATGTCATACTAAAACTAATAGAATAGAAAAACCTTTAAGATAACCTGTAGAAAGCAAAAAACACATCTTAAGCACGCAGAATAACAAGTAATTGCGATTAGAAATTCAATTAATTGTGCAGCCCTATTATCAATGTTGAAAGTTTTATATTGAAAACATTTTTTTATTCATCAAATTAAATTGATTAAAAGTGAGAGTAAAGACATTTATAATGTTACAAAAGATTTCTATTTCAAATAAATGCTGTTCTTCTGAACTTCTCTATTCATCTGTGAATCATGAAAAATAAAATGCATCACAGTTTCCACAAAAATATTGTGCAGCACGACTGTTTTCAACATTGATAATAATCAGAAATGTTTCTCGAGCAGCAAATCAGCATATTAGAATGATTTCTGAAGATCATGTGACACTGAAGACTGGAGTAATGATGCTGAAAATACAGCTGCGCATCACAGAAATACATTACAGCTTAACACATAATAACATAGAAAACAGCTGTTTTAAATAATAATATTTCAAATTTTTTAAGTATTTCTGGTGAGCAGAAGAGACTTTCAGAATTGTGTGTGTGTGAGAGTGTCTCAGTGTGTGTGTGTGTGTGTGAGAGTGTCTCAGTGTGTGTGTGTGTGTGTGTGTGTGTGAGTCGTACTGGAGTGGAAGGGGCTGGAGGGCGGCTGCGGGGAGTCGAAGACGCTGCAGATCTCGGTGGAGCTGGATGCGGTGGAGGCTGGTTGAGGTGTCAGCGGTGTGCGGGGCGAGTTGGGCGTTGAAGCGATGCTGCTCTCCGTCTCGCTGTCTGGGATGCGGCTGTAGCTGATCTTCCGGGGCTCGTTCTGCAGCGGAGTCGGATGCCGCATGGTTCCTGGGCGGACGGATGATGGGCGAACACCCGGAGACTTCAGAGGACAGCTGTACTTCTTCGGCTGTGAGAGGAAGACAAAATGAGAAGAAATTCCACAATCTATCTATCTATCTATCTATCTATGGGATATATCAGTTAGTGTCCAACATTGCACTAAAACGCTGTCATCTTAATTTTACACAAGTTAAAATATGACAAAAAAGTAATTTAAAAAAAAGTATCTTTTTATATATATAAAAAACAGAAATCTCATGATTATATATATATAAAAAAAAAAATCTAATGATTATTTTTAAAATTGTGATTTCTTAGCATGCAATAAAATCTTACATTTTATAAAAATTAAAAAATTTCATCAGGAATATATTTTTTCTAGTTATGTCAACCGCTAAAACGGTTTATTGGGTAGAAATGACTATTTGTGAGTAAAACAAAATATTTAAAAAATCCTAATAATCATGAACAACTAGAAAAATCATGTTAATTCATTGGTAATAAAAAGTTTAAATTCTGAAGAACATTCATTTATTAAAATGTCTGGAATTATGGAATTTAATTACCAATATCTTTTTTTCTATTTTTTTTTAAAGAAATTATATTGTAATATTATAAATTAATATTTCAAATATGTAAAAAATAATAATGTATTATGTAATGTATCAATTATGTAAAAAAAAAAATAATAATAAAGTAGTTAAAATAATTATTTTTATTTACAATTTTTAAATAATTATTGTAATTATATTATTGTCAATTCTAGATTCTGTAAATTCTAAATTCTGTAAATGAGTTTGAAAATGAGCAGCTTTCTCATTACAGCAGAAGTAGCAGAAATATCCTTTGAATATTTTATTTTACAATGAGGGGCATCGGAGTAAATAGATAGGTCAAAACATCTGATGGGCTCTTTAAGTTCCACCAGTGTGATGTTTTGGGCCTTTTCACTGTTACACAAGTGAACTCGTGCTTAGTTTGTACATCAGCACTATTCTGGTTCACATCCCTAAGCACTTGAGGGTTTAACACAGAGATCAGGAGGCTCTCGTGTGTGTTGTGTAATCGTTCGTGTGCGTTCAGCGCGAGGCAGACTTACGAATCGAGGCAGTGTGCGAGCGTTACGTGGCTCGATCTCCAGAGATTTGTTGAACAGATAGTCGGCGAACTCCTTCTCCGTCATGTCCTCCATCGGGTTCAGGTTCTCAAAGAACTTCTGCAGCATCAACACAATGTGACAGTCATTTAGTCATTTCATTTTTATTAAAGTTTTAACATTAAAGACATTAACACCTAACATTAAAGTTTTTAAATATACTTTTATATTGCAATAACTTTACATTCAATCTTCAAATTATTGTACAAACAACAAAGACAGTGTATTTTTAAGATTTGTTTGATGGCATCTTTGAAGGCCAGTATCACTGATACCAATACTACTGATGTCTCTATAAAATTGTTTTTTCCCCTAATATTTAACCATCGATTATAGCCATTCAACATTACAGTATAATTGAGAGCTATCAAGTTTAACATTTATTAGACTTTTAAAAAATAACATCTAATTTAAGTGAACTTAAAACAATCTTCACATAAACCCATTATAATAAATGTCATATTTAGATACCTGTGCCCTTCAGCAGAAATATTAAGAAATTGAATAAAGTTATCAAACACTACATTCTAAATTAAACATAGATGAACCTCTTAAAGCTATAAAAGTTATTGATTTCCTCTTTTTTGTCCTTTGATTAACAGACAACACAGCAGCTGGTTATTAGGTTGTTTAGGCTGCTATTACTTTAAGAGCTGCCGCTGCTGAACGTGACTCAGATCTGACACGCATTGTATTTTCTCTCAACTCTTTACCTTTTCAGTTTTGAAAACCATTTCAGAGACATGTTCTTAAATGTGACTCATTTATAATATATTACATGCATGCACTGTTTTAAGGCAGCTTTAATCACCGTTTTGGTAACTTCATGACTTAACTGACCACGACATTGCATGCACGTAGTTTCTTTTGCGATTTGATATGAAAATATGTTTTTACTGTCAATTTTGATCAATTGAATGGGTCCTTGATGATGCATTAATTATTAATTTCTTCTAAAAAAATGGTAGTGTAATTAATGTGAACAGTTTTCTGACCCGTATGTCGTTTTCCACACGTAAGCAGTACGGCTGGTTCTGGTACTGCTGGATTTCTCCGGTTATTTCCGCCACTTTCCGTCGTTTGCTGAAGTTGATCAGTTCCTTGCCATGTCTCTTCAGGAAGTCTGGATTTCCCTCCTCAGTTTTCAGAATATTTGTTAAATAAATCCCTAAAATGAGCAGATCACAATCAAAAAACAGTCCCATCAGAAACCAAAACAGGAATAAAATAATGAAAAATATTTTTATCTCACGATTCAGATTTTGTTTCTCGCAAATCTGAGTTTATATCTCACAAATTAGGACTTTTTTTTTTTTTTCAAATTGCGAGTTTATATCTCACAATTATTATTTTTTTACTTATCAGAACTGTGAGAAAGTGTGAATTGTAAGGTAAAAAAAGTCACAATTACTTTTTTTTTTAATTCCAAGCTGAAAACTAAGAAAACTGAATTCTGAGGAGAAAAGTCAGAATTGCGAGATATAAACACAAAATTGTGAGATAAAACTTCATAATTTTGAGAATAAAATGAGAGTTGCAAAATAAAAACAATTGTGATATGCAAACTTAGAATTACTAGATATAAACAGAATTGCAATATAAATTCACAATTTAAACTCTCAATTTTGAGGAATAAAGTCAGAATTGCAAGTAGGGCTGGGCGATATGGCCAAAAAAATTATCACGATAATTTTTTCCCATATCAGTCGATATCGATAATTATCACGATAAATGTAACATTTTTATTTCTTTCAAGTTTAAAGCCAGATTTTTGCTTCAATATGAAAGTTGTAAAAGCCAGATGGTTAATTGTGGTTTTAAACTATTCTTTACGGTCAGAACATGATAAACACTTCACATTTTTTAATTCTTTTCACTTTTACAGTCATTTTTCCATAACAAAATAAATATCTTAATAGAAAAAAATTTTTTTCTTAGTTCTGCATGTTCTAGTAATGAGTAATATTGTTTCAAATCAAGAAACAGGTTTGTGTTGCCTGATAATATTAATAATATAAACATTTTTTGTCTGTAAGAAATACACAGTTGATAGTAGCTTGAGTTAGGATGCAGATATAGGTTTATATTCATTATCAAAATCAGTTATATCTGTAAGTATTGTAACAATCTCATTTTTTTTATGGTGAATTTTTTTTTTTAAACCATTGGTCTTCCATAGCATACATTTAGATCATGATAATCACAGTTAAAACCACAAATATAGCACCTCAATACCATGGTAAAAATGTAATATGGCTTCTAGGTATTTGTATGAAAAAAGTCAGAATTGCAAGATATTAACAGAATTGAGAGATTTAAATTTAGAATTGTAAGACATAAATTCACAATTGTGAAAAATAAAAAAATAAGTCCATCTTGTGAAACGTAAACTCAGAATTCAGAGAGAACAAAAAAAGACTGAATCGTGAGATAAAAACTCAGAAATTTGACTTTTTTCCTGAAAAGTCTGATTTATGAGATAAAATGTTGCATTACCTTTTTTTTATTTTTTTTATTCCATGGCAAAAACTTAAAAAAACATGTGCTTCTTTAGAAAGCACATGTGTAAAAAGAAGAAGGACGTACCAAAGAAGGGCACACAGGGGGGGTTGATGGACCTGAGTTTAGCCAGATATTTCTTATAATGATCTTCACTGAGTTCATGAGCTTCCTCCAGAATCTTCCTCTGTCTGCTCGGGATTTGCTGAAATACAATCACACGCAGAACGAGTTACACGCTGAACTGTGACAACTCTAGTACTAGTGAAGAGCAACTAATCCAACAGTGCTAATTAAAGCTCATGTAAACGCGCTGACCTCGAAGGTGTGGTCGAGTCTGTAGACGGGCGATGAGTTCATGGCGCTCACCACCTCCAGAACGCCATTGAAGTTATTGAGCTCCTGAAAGACCTGCAGGATCTCGATAATGCGCGATATGATGGACACACGCTCCTCCACGTTCTCCGTTTCTAACTGCCCACCAGCTCTGACGGCTGAACCGCCCTACAGAAGGTCAAAGTTCACAGTTACATTCATGTTTCTAAGTCTAAAACACTTAGAACAGTAGTTCCACCTCAAAGGGATGATTTAGACACTAATGCAATTAATACATATTCAATACTTAAAGCAAGACACTAGGAGAATATGGTGTAGATCTCACCATAATCACAGTACATTAGGACTATTGTTTTATAAGTGAAAAGTTATGTATTATATGCCATCATTTGCATACATTTCCATAAAATAAATCTAAAAACTGGATGAAGCCAGGTTCAAAATTCTTGTTTGAATTTGCTGACATATTAGAGTTAAAGGATTTTACTGAGGGGATTTTGGATTTCTCTTTTTATCACTCCATAAATCAGGAAATACTGTGACCAGCTAGATGAATATACATTTTCACCAAGTTAAATGAAATGTTATTAAAACTCAGGAAAATTATATATCAACAATCCCCTCAGTAAAAACCTTCAGAATATAGTGAGGAATAAAACTGTAAAGTTTGGTGTATGTGAGTGCTGCTGAAGTGGAGGAAAAACTCTTTAAAGATGTGGACTGAGATTGAAATTTACATACGCACATAGATAAAGTGAAATACAATAAAACTTAAATGTGTATTTTGGATGTATTATTTCCACTTGTCTGAAAGAAGAGACATGATATGAAAGCAAAATAGACAAAATCTCAAAATTGACCAGTATTAAAACACTGGTTTTGTTTGTAGTGTCTCGGTTTATTACACTTTATCTATTTGTGTCTGTAGATTTCAATTCCAATCCATATCTTTAAAGAGTTTGTTTCTCCACTGCAGTTGCACTTGCACACATCAAACTCAGAAGTTTTATTCCCATCGATATTCTGAAGGTTTTTACTGAGGGGATTTTTGATTTCTCTTTTTATCACTCCATAAATCAGAAAATACTCTCAACAGACAAAAACAAAAAACAAATACATTTTCAGGACTAAAATGTTGTATAAATCAGTGTGAATTAAATATTAACAAAACCCTCAGTAAAAACCTTCAGAATATAGAGAGGAATAAAACTGCTAAGTTTGGTGTCTGTAAGTGCTGCTGAAGTGGAGGAAAAACTCTTTAAAGATATGCATCGCAATTGAAATCTACAGATGCAGATAGATAAAGTGTAATAAAATAAATACTTAAATGTGTATTTTGGATGTTTTCTTTCCACTTGTCTGAAAGAAGAGACATGATATGGAAGCAAAATAGACCAAAATCTCAAAACTGACTAGTGCATGAAAAAACACTGGTTTTGTCTGTAGTGTCTCGTCTTATTACACTTTATCTATTTGTGTCTGTAGATTTCAATTCCAATCCATATCTTTAAAGAGTTTTTTTCTCCACTTCAGCAGCACTTACATACACCAAACTTTACAGTCTTATTCCTCTCTATATTCTAAAGGATTTTACTGAGTGGATTCTGGATTTCTCGTTTTATCACTCCATCAAATCAGAAAATACTGTCAACAGACAGAAAACATGTACATTTACACCATGTTTTAGGACTAAAATATTATACAAAACTCAGGATATATATATATATTCACAAACCCCTCAGTAAAAACCTTCAGAATATAGAGAGGAATAAAACTGCTAAGTTTGGTGTATGTAAGTGCTGCTGAAGTGGAGGAGAAAACTTTTTGAGGAAAAGGCCTTTAAAAGGTGTATTGTAATTGAAGTCTACAGACAAAAATAGATGGATGTTTTCAACCTAAATCTAAAAATTACCAGTGCATGAAAAAACTATGGTTTTGTCTTAACTCATGTAAGAGCTTGAACACAAATACAAGCTTCACTCATGATGGTAGACGTCTATTGTAATTGTTCTGTAACATGTTTCCTGTTTGTTCAGAAACACTGAGAGACGATCGTCTGTGGAAACTGACAGCAGCACACTGAAATTAAGTGAAAATCACTCAGAATGCTCCTTTAGTCAGGGCCGGGGTGTTTTGAGTGTGTGGTTTGGTTCAGTGTTTAGGGAGACGAGGGCACAGATCGGCCTCATGGGAAACGGAGCTGAGGTGGTGACCTTGGGTACGACGCTCACTGCCTGTTCCCACAGAGGTGAAGGGAAGTGTGTGTGTGTGTCACAGCTGGACTCTCTATTGTGTTAAACTGCCCCATTTTCTGAGCATACAGTTGACAACAGAGCAAAAAACTAAAATACAAACAGGAAATCCAGCCTTTTCCCTTGTAAAGAAAAAAACAACAACAATAAAATACTAAACAAACACAAAACAAGCAGAAATGAATGTTTAGGCCAGTGCATTTCTTCATTTTGACTTCTCAAGCATTTGACTCAAAAAGTCAAAGAGTACATGAGCTCCATACAGCTATGTAACATTATAAATGTATTTACGGTTACTCGATCAGTTTAATGCATAATTGATGAACAAAAGCATACTTTTTTTTTTTTTTAATTAAAAGAATTTTCATGGCCAAAACATTATTGCTACACAAAAAAATAAATAAATTCAGGCCTAAATATAAAATTTGTATCTGAATTGCATATAAGCTGTTCGTGCATTTGGATTACACAGCTTCAACATAAGCAAACTAATAAACTTATTGTGATGCACATTTGTCAGTCAAAAAAATGTTTATTAATAACTATTTGCATCTATTTGAGTTGATTTAAATAATCATATTTTCAAAATGAATTTATTTAAATTGCTTAGAATCAGCAAAAATCTGTTCATTGGGAAAACAATTACATTTATTCCATTTAAAAGTACAAACTTGGTAAAATATAACTATGTGGAACAAGCAATATTCAATTAGATCAAATGTATGAGATTGACATAAACTGGATTTATTGATGATAAATATATAAACCTGGTTACTGTATATTTTAAAGCACATTCAGTTTTTAGTTTCATTACAGCAATCTGACTTGTTTAATTATGCATGACTGTAATACACAATAACCAGTTTTATATGTTTATGTAAATAGGTTTATATATATAAATGCATTGAAAATATGATTATTTAAATAAAATCAAATGGATACTTAGTTAATAATAAACTATACAATAAGTGCAGAAATCTGTTTTCTTCATGTATGACTGACAAATATGCATCACATTAAGTATGCATATTTTGCCAGTTGTTGTTTACGTTCAAACTGTATGTTCCAAATGGATGGAAATTTTATATGCAATTCAAATACATAAATCTTAAACCTGAATATTTTTTGAGTGGAGTGTATATTGTGTGTGGTATCATTTCATTAAAATTTTATGGTGCATTTGTGGTCGCCGTCTGCTTATATGGAAATGAGCAGCGTGAACATTCAGCTAAATATCTCCACTAAAGAAAAACAGGGTTGGATTGAAATGAGGGCGAGTAAATGGCGAAAAGACGTCAGAGGTCACAGGCTGAGGGTTGCACCTGTAGAAGTCGGACTCCAGCAGCGTGAGCTGTCGGGCGATCTCGATGGGGTGAAGGGTCATGAGGTCAAACTGATCCGTCTGTCCCGCTTTACACAGGTGCCACTCGATGGGTGGCGGCGAGCTCTCGAACGTGATGTTGTGACTGGGGCCGTTGGCTTGAGCCTGTTTCTTCCTCTGGATGATCTTCGTGATGGACTCCACCCACTTCCTCATGGCCTTACCTGCAGACAGGTGACAGGACCGATGTTAGAGACAGAACTGAGCTGAGATCAGATTTATGCAGAAGAGTTCCTGTAACCAGCCACCACCCACAGTGAAATCTCATTGGCTTAAAATCCAGTGCATCATGTTCCCTTTCAGAAATAATGATGGACAGAAAAATGATGGGAATTACATTGGAATACGGTTACATCATGCCTGGTTAGGACACTATGACATTTTTTTATTTTCTCACAAATTTCATGTTTTCCGTTTTAATTTTTCTGGATTCCGTTTAATGGTGTGCATTTCTAATCAATTTAATTAATATTTATCATATTTAATTCGATGCAATTTTTTTTTCAGAAATTCTGTTTTCTGTTTGAATTTTTCTGGATTCCATTTTTATGGTTTAACTGAATTTTAATAATCAAAAAGGATGTCTAATCAATTGAATTCATAAAACTTTTACAATTTACTATTTTAACAATAACAGTTCCCTAAGAAATGTGCTATTTTTGTTGCTAAATGGTGCTAATCAAATTGATACATAAAACTTTAACAATTTAAAGTAATTATTGCTGTCAATCAATAAAAAAAATTAACTAATTAAAAATTAACTGATTAATCGCGATTAATCCCACCTAACATAAAAGTTTTAAATATACATTTATATTGCAATAATTTTTACATTCAATCTTCAAATTAATGTACACACAACATAGACAGTATATTTTTAAATATTTGTTTAATGCCATCTTTTATTTATGACTGAAGGCCAGTATCACTGATACCAATACTACTGATGTCTCTATAAAATTGTTTCCCCCCTAATATTTAACCATTGATTATAGCCATTCAACATTACAGTATAACTGAGTGCTATCAATTTTAACATTTATTAGACTTAAAAATAACAGAGGAATAAAACTGTAAAGTTTGGTGTATGTGAATGCTGCTGAAACGTCTCTCATTTGATATGGTCATAAAGACATTCTGCAACTGAATAAATGCACTTCTTGCCCGCGTACACACCTCACGCACCGGATGCCGTGCGCGCCCAAAGACAGTTGGACATAGTGGTGTATTAGAGGTAAAAAATTATATAAATACTGTTCGGTTTCTGGCACAAACCGATCGTTTCGTGTCTTAGGACATCAATGTGTCGTCACGAGCCGCAGGGTTTAATTTGGATTTGTCCGTGCATGTTTTTTTTACTCTCATAGATTTTGTTACCATTGCCATGCATTATACGACTGACAGACTGCAACGGCTGGAGTTAAAAATCATCATTTGTGTTCTACTGAAGAAACAAAGTCACCTACATCTTGGATGCCCTGGGGGTAAGCAGATAAACATCACATTTTCATTTTTGGGTGAACTATCCCTTTAACACGTTAAACTGAAAAAATGTATCACCTGCGTTAACGCATTAATTTTGACAGCACTAAAAATAATCTTTTAAAATGTTAAATTTTGCCAAATTCTGTGACATTCTCCATTATAGAGTAAATATGATTTTTATGACTGGATTTTGAAGACATTTCCATGGTTTTATCATCTTTGATGATGATGATGGAGATCAGTAGGTTTGTGTTCGTACCTCTGACCATGCCGATAAACTCCTCCAGCCGCCGCAGCAACTGAGCGTCTCTCTCAAAGTCATAGAAATGATGCTCGACCCAGTGTCTGCACACATTCAACACCCTGCAGACACACAGATACGCATTAGAGACAGCCGTATGATACAGTACTGCTGTGTGTGTGCGAGTGAGAGAGTGGGGAGTAAGTGAGAGTGTGAGTGTGTGTGAGTGTTAGAGTGCGAGTTTGCAAGTGTGTGAAATTGTTTGAGTGTGTGTGCACGTGAGCGAGTGTAAATGTGAGTGTGAGTGAGTCTACGCGAGTGTCAATGAATGTGCGTGAGTGAGCGAATGAGTGTGAGTGTCAATGTGTGAGCAAGTGAACGAGTGTGAGTATGCAAGTGTGTGAGCGTGTGTGAGTGACTTAGTGAGTTAGTGTGTGTGCGTCAGTGTGTGAGTGTGAGTGAGTGTACAAGTTAGTATGAGGGGCCGTACAAGCCATCATTCATTCTGGCACTCTCACACACTTACATTCTCCTTTCACATACATATATTTTTAAAATATCATTATGTAACCTATGTGTTCTACAGATCTGTGTACAAGTGTTATGAGACTGATTTTGATCGTATGGACAGGGCTCAACGCTAATGACATGTTCTACTGGCCCGGTTTGGCCAGTGGTTAAAATGTTTTACTTGCCCTGGCATAATTTTCACAGGCCTTGCCACAATCAATCAATAAATAAATCAATAAATAAGACTTATTGTTTTCATTGTTGACTGTAACATTGTATTGTAATAAATGATAACCATTTTGCACAAATAGGTACAATAGTTCAAAGATAAAACTGAAATGAACCATGCTTTTTCAGGTCTTTCAGGTAGGTCTAACTCTATTCCAGCTAAGGATGCACTGATCAGGATTTTTCGTGACCGATTCCAATTGCTGATTTTTTTATTTATTTTTTTTACTATGAAATGAGCCGATTCCCATACTCGTTGCCAATTTATTTCATTTTTATTTATTTATTTTTACATTTATTAAATGTTTATTTTGCTCTGTTAT